AATATCAAATGTAAAGAATTTAATAAAAAATATTATTAATATTAAAAGTACCGGCGGTTGTAAAGTGGGTGTGAAAGTGGTGAAGGTTGCGGTGTCGGCAACCGCCTGTGGCTTTTTCAAGTCACAGCTGTCACTTTATAAAAGCCATTGAACAGACGTCCCGAAACCACCAATGTGTTTTTCCGCGTACCGCGTACTCTTTTGCTGGCTGCTTCTTTCCGTATACTTGGCATGTTTTTTCCAATGACACGTAAGATGCATCCCACTTGGACTTTTTTTTTATATTTAATTTCGGTTGTGGATAAGATGAAATCCCCACATCAGCAAAATATTGATTTTACTAATTAATATTGAATCTCCAATTTGGTATTCCCACACGTGCGTTTAAATTATTAAACTTAGAATTGGATGCTGGTTTTTTGGTCCTGTTTGTCTGCTCATCCTGGCTTAAGTCAATTTTTTTGAATTAAATTTTTGTGGATACGTTACATCTATTTTGATCCGGAGAGAATAATTGATTTTTATAGTCTTTCTTAAATTGTTTATTTAGTTTAAGGTTTGTTTTTTATTTGCACGGGGTATTATGGAAAAAGAAAATTTTTTTTAATAGTTGATAGAAGTTGAATTTTCAATCAACTAAATTCAAATATTAAAATTTGAGAATAAATCATTAAACTTAAAGAGCTAATCCTATTTAGTTTAAGGTTTGAATGTAAAGTAAGTTCAAGTTTATAATACTTAAGAAATTATTTGAATTAGTTGTTTAAATGTGTTGATAGTTGATAATTAATATAAAAAAATTAATAATTCTTATTATTTATAATTTAAAATATTTAATTTATTTAATTAAAATTAATAACGGATAATTATTTACAAAATTCTAAAGAAAATTCACCTCCTAAGACTTCTTCTAAGAGAGGGACAACTTTCATACTAGATTATCACAATTTATTTCTATTGAGCTAGACAAAATAAAAAAAAAATAAAAATCCATGGAACCGAATTCACAGCTCGAAATCAGCCCTTAACAAATACATTAGCAAAAGGAGAGCTTAATTAAAAACATAAAAACGTCAAACATAGTGGGGTATTAGGATAGTTTTCTCCAAGGTTTTTAAAATCGGACCGGATCGGTCGGTTGAATCGGTCGGATCGATACCCAATGATGAAAATGGTTTGGTCTACATAAGAAAACCATTTTATGTCAAAACCAGTCAAAACCAGTAAAAACCAGTAAAATCGGTAAAAACCAATGAAAACCGATGAAAATCAATGAAATCGAAAAAACCACCGGTTCAATTTCTCATGCAATCTTCTTTCAATTTTTTCCAATTTCACCCTTCTCATTCCTTTCTTATACCTATTTTAACCTTTAATTTTAACAAAATTACAAAATTATCAACACCAAATTAGAAAATCCATGCCTGCAGCTTGCTCATCTCATCAAATCTTCCTTGCTACTTGGATCAGTCGATTCACCGATTCAACCGGTTGAATCGGTTAAATCAAAAACCAAACCTAAAAATGGTTCAATGACCGATCCGATTTTAAAAACCTTGGTTTTCTCATTGAGGCATTTCAATTTTATTGAGCATCAAAACGGCCTACTTTTTGAAGGAGGTTTCATTTTGGGCTCAAAAACTTTTCCAACTTTTTCTTAACCATAACAGGCCCTATACATTTCTTGTTAGGCCCATGTTCGTTTGCAACATCTATCGCTCCAACGCACCGTTTTACCTTATAGCAAATTTGTGTTGTACTCTGTGCTTAAACACTTGTACAAACGGGGGTATAAATGGAATAACAATTTTTTCTTTCTTTTGTTGGGTTCTGTTATTTTCCCTGGAAACCCCTTTTTCTTCCTGTTTGGGCTGTAAACTGAAATAATCCCGCATCCTGGCGGCGCGGCCTCTTACGAGCTCATCGTCGTCGGCAGCCAAATTCCATTTTCACCTGCTAATTGGAGCTTCGGAACGAGCACTAGAATCCGATTGCATTCTCTCATTTTCAGGTATAATTTGTTTTAACCTTTCTTTTCCTTATCCTGAATACAAAATGCGTTGACGAAATTTTCTGCCTTGAGACCGAAATGGGAAGAATGACGCAGCATGCAATATACTGAGACGTTAACTCCAAATTTCAATCTTTTAGTCTTCTCGTTGCTGTTAATTTCATTTTTATGCCTTTTTAGAGTATTATTGAACTTGCTTTAATTCCATGTTCAATTAGCATAGCTTAGTGAATTCCGTGCATACCAATTACCAAATTCAAGTATTAATCGATACCGAGACATAGATAGCATTGGTTGTCATCACAAAGACAATACATTTAACACCACTCTGGATGAATGTGATATATTGTTGAGGCAGGCCTTTAGCGTGGGGATTAGAAGTCCAAACAAATCGGTTGAGTCTTCTTTATATTTCTAATTTGATTGTATTTTTATGATTGCATATGATTACAAAGAAGAATATGTTCGTTTGTTTTAAAGATGGATTATAACCTATTATTTTTCTTGTTTCAATATTTCTGGATGATTGCTTATGAGATTGTCTTTACAATCATATGATTAGTTTGCTTGAGGAGGAATTGCTAGCTGAGATGTATGGTGCTGACCGTTTGTGCCATGGATAGTTAGGGAAAGGTTTCGTTTTGTGCCATGCCATGAGCTTCGTGTATTTTAGATGTTGTGTTCTTGAACATCTTCTCCTGTTTTTCCTACATCAGAACTCCACAGATTACACATGGAACCAGAAGAACCCACTGCCATCAGAACCACCTTGGACTCTCCATCTTTGTCACCACAGCCCCGTCAGATTTGCAGCACTTGTGACCGCCCATTCCTAGTATGCCTGTGTCATGCCCTCCCAACCACTCCACTCCCGACCAGAACCAAGGTGCTGATCCTCCAACACCCCCACGAGTCACGTCATAAGCTCAACACGACCCCTCTCATTTCTAAATCCCTCCAAAATGCCACCATTATCTCTTCTCGTAGGCTCCAACCCCATCATGTCGCTGATCACTCCACTCCTGCTATCTACCTCTTTCCCCCCTCTCCTTCCACACCCACCTACGCCCTCTCTGAACTCCAATCCTCCAATCTCCTTAACTACCAAACTACCCCACTGCTTCTAATAGTCTTTGACGGCACCTGGAAGCATGCTAAGGAGATGGTTAGTGCAAGCGAGGGGGTTTTGAAGGGTTTTGCTTTGAGAGTATCCTTGGATGGAGTTGATGAAAATGCCACTGGTGGGAGTATTTACAACAATGAATTGGTTTTGAGGAAGGAGCCATTTGGAGGATGTGTGAGTACATTGGAGGCGGTGGCTAGGTGCTTGGGGGTCATTGAGCCCAACGGAAAGCTGATTGAAGAGGTCTTGATTGGGATTCTGAGGGAGATGGTAAGATTGCAAGCTGGATTCTTGAAGCCACTCAAGCCCAGGCCCAAGTTGTTGAAGAAAAGCAAGCAAAAGGACAGTGAGCCATAGATGGAATTTGCCCCTATTATTTGACACATCAACTGATCAATGCATAAACAAGCTGGCACATTGGAGCTCTGAGGACAAAAGCACAAGCAAATCCAAAATCCTTACTAGGTGACAAAACATTGGTCATTGTTGTGTAATCCAATGATACTGGCTTACCTAACACTTAAATCCCACCCATTATAATAAGATATTATCAGCTCGAGTTTATTTTAGACATTAATTTACGAAGAGACCTATTTGTCTGTGTAGTTTGACCAGGCGACCAACATACCGGGAAGCATAATCAAACATAATTCAAAGCCTAATTTTTTGGCTGAGCTGATTCGTGGTTCAAAGTCCAAAGGGTTTTGTGTGTAAGGAGTTGGAGTTAGGAATCATCATAATAATAAAAAAATGGTCAAAATGGAAAAATATAGTTGTGATCTCAAGATATCATGTAGGTTAGATTATGAAGTGATGGAGACCACGTGATCTGCACTGGTGCATAAAGAGGTGAAAGCGAGTGCTCTTTCTTTTCTCCTTTATCGTTTCTTTACAACTTGTCCACCAGATGCCACATGTCATTGCCTACCCCTTTTTTTAAGGCTGCCCTTCGATCTTACTATGTCATGTTGCCTTTTGCAATGGAGCTTTTTTTGCACCGCTAACAATACAGGAACCAAAAGTGGATGTTTAGGTTCAATTTTCTTCAGATGAGAAGCAAGGTGGAGGCTTAAAACGAAGCTTAAAACCAATATTAGGTGCAAATAATTTCAACGGCCGTCCTTATTATCTTTAAATGTAGAGCTTTATATGATGTATGTATACTAAATAATTTATAAATACTCATAAAATTAGTTAGACTAAACACTCAAAGACACCCATGTTAGACGGAAAAAAGAAAAATCAATATTTTGTGGGTTTAATGTTCTTTCTAACCAATATTCAACAGAAATATTAACATCAGAATTTGTAATGTATCATACTACAAAATATTGTCAGTTTAGAAATGTAAATCTCACAAATATTTTTTCTTCAGTGGATTTTACTCAGAAAGGTTTGGTAAGATAATGGCCCAATCTTGACCGCACTCAATAAATGGAGCAGTTTTACCCAAAATAAAAAATAAAAAGGAAGTAGGACGAATTAGGCATCTAAACACTAAACAGTGAATCAGATCAATTGAAGAGTTCCAAAATCCAAAAGAAGAGTAACAAGTTCTGAGCCTAAAAAGAGGGACAAAGAAAAAAAAAAAACTAATAACATACTTGAGATTGTGAGTGTGACCCAACAAGCGTTAGGCAGTAATTTGGGCGCACACACTGAGATGAGAAGAGAAGATACTTACTGGTGATGGACTGATAAAAGATCAAGCCCATGTCCATGCTAACAGCAGTAAGAACTAGAAAGAGGATGGTGTTTTAGGTCTGACAAACCCACAGCCATTCTCCATAGCCAAAATTTATATCTGTTTTAATTTGGATTACCACTTAATTCCTTTCAAGTTTCAACTGCATTCCACATAGCTTGTAGTTAATAAACTTCTTCAACCTCTCTGCTTCTAACCTTTCTCTGATTTCAAAATTTCTTCCCCCTTTTCTTTTTTTAATAGAAAATTGATATTCAGAGTGAAACCCACGTGATGAACGGTTGTTATGGTGTCAAAAGACTCAAAACTACCGAACAACCCTGCAAATCCGTCATTCTTTTTTTTTTAATTACTTTATTTAGACAATTACTTTATATATATAAGATTTTTTAAGAAAAAAAGACTGCCTCAAAAACCGAGCAATCAGCAAACTCTAAATTTGATAAAGTACTTGCCCCCCTTAAAATTATTGATGGTGGTGCCATTCATCTTTGCGTGCGCGGGAAGTACGCCGGAATAATGAAAAAGCCGTTTCTTAAATTGGGATCATGTGACTTAAGCTCCTTTTTATTTTTATTTTTTCAATATATGCTTAAAGTATATATTAAATGTATAATTAATATATCTTTATAATATTAAAGTAGTAATTTGTATTAAAAATAACAAAGGTTGATATAGTATTAACTTCATTATTGATGTTATATAAATTATTTTAATTAATTAATTAACTAAAAATTAATTTTTATTTTCAATATAAATTAACATTAAAAATATTATTAATTTGTAACTTAAAAAACGTTTTTTTAGAACATATTAGTGGTTTATTAACTATCCTATCTTTATAAAAAATTTCTCACATAAACATTTAGAGGTAGGGAATTCCATTCTCACTCAATGTTTCAAAAAACTACATTTTTTTAATTATTTTTTTTAAGTTACTCCAACCGTGTTTCTTTGTTTTTATTTTTTTATTTTTTTATTTTAATAATATAATAAAAAATAATGATTTTTCATTTTGTTATTTCATTTTATTTATATAGTATATAATTTAAATTTAAAATTTTTTATATAAAAAAATATCGTTAAATTATTTAAATTCGTTGACTTTTTTCTTGTCCTTTTGTGTCCGATTTCATGCTTATCCTACCAACGTCACTCGTCATTCACGTGTAAATGTTCCCGCATGTGTTTAAACTGTAACGCCTACTCCATTACTTTTTCCCCTTTTTGACCTTCGGAATAGTGTCATCCACACGTTACGAATATCAAATAGAATCGTACGGTAAATTTTTTAGATATTGTGATTTTTCTTCCAAGAAAGTACGTAAAATTTTGTAAATGAAAGTACGAAAGGCTGGCCAATAATAAATGAAAGTACGACAGACACCAAAAAGTATTAGTTTATATATAATATTTGTGATTCAGTCATTATTTACTGTTTAAAAAGGTAAATTCCTGATTTCCACTCTTAAATTTTGAGTTTAATACTTTCATTAACACTTTTAATATATTAATTTTTAATTATTAACTTTATTAAAAAAACATAATATTTAAATAAAACCTTGTATTAATTTTTAAATTTAATGTTGAAGTAATTAAATTTTTTATTGTAAGCTTAACTTAATATCTATTTCTGCTTTTCTTAATCAGATAAAGTTAATAATGATTATATAGGTAATAATATATTAATATTTTATTTATTTTATTT